CCAATCAAGTGCAGGGACATCTTTAAGCCTCACCTGACCAACAGACTCTCATCAGAGCGGTCCTGACCAACGGAGTCGCTGGAGTTGGAAAAACCTTCTCAGTGCAGAAGTTCACTCTGGACTGGGCCGAGGGTTTGGGAAACCAAGATGTCAGTCTGGTGATCCCGCTCTCCTTCAGGGAGCTGAACCTGATCAAAGGTAAGCAGTACAGTCTTCTCAGGCTGCTCCATGTTTTCCATCCAACCTTACAGAAGGTCACAGCAGAGCAGCTGGCTGTCTGCAAAGTGCTGCTCATCTTTGACGGCCTGGATGAGAGCAGACTTTCTCTGGACTTCAGAAACAGTGAGGTTGTGTCTGATGTCTCACAGAAGTCCTCAGTCAACGTGCTGCTGACAAACCTCATCAGGGGGAAGCTGCTTCCCTCAGCTCTCGTCTGGATAACTTCCAGACCTGCAGCGGCCAATCAGATCCCTCCTGAGTGTGTGGACAGGGTGACAGAAGTACGAGGCTTCACTGACGCCCAGAAGGAGGAGTACTTCAGGAGGAGATCGAGTGATGAAGACCTGTCCAGCAGAATCATCTCTCACATCAAGAGCTCCAGGAGCCTCCACATCATGTGTCTGATCCCAGTCTTCTGCTGGATCACTGCTGCAGTTCTGGAACACATGTTGACTACAGACCAGAGAGGAGAGCTGCCCCAGACCCTCACTGACATGTACTCACACTTCCTGCTGGTCCAGACCAAGAGGAAGAAGCAGAAGTATGAAGAGGGACATGAGACGAGTCCACAGCAGCTGACGGAGGCTGACAGGGAGCTTCTTCTGAAGCTGGGGAGGCTGGCGTTTGAACATCTGGAGAAAGGAGACATCATGTTCTACCAAGAAGACCTGCAGCGCTGTGGCCTTGGTGTCACCGAGGCCTTGGTGCACTCAGGAGTTTGTACAGAGATCTTCAAAAGAGAGAGTGTGATCTTTGAGAAAACAGTCTACTGCTTTGTTCATCTGAGCATTCAGGAGTTCCTGGCTGCAGTCTACTTGTTGCACTGTTACACCAACAGGAACAAAAAGGTCCTGAAGGACTTCCTGCAGAGTGATCAGGATTACTCATCCCTGGATGTCTTCCTGAAGAGAGCCATGGAGAAATCCCTCAGAAGTGAAAATGGCCACCTGGACCTGTTTGTCCGCTTTCTCCACGGCCTCTCTCTGGAGTCCAACCAGAGACTGTTAGGAGGCCTGATGGGTCGCACAGACATCAGACCAGAAACCATCCAGAGTGCCACCAGAGGCCAGCTGGGTCGCACAGACATTAGACCAGAAACCATCCAGAGTGCCACCAGAGGCCAGCTGGGTCGCACAGACATCAGACCAGAAACCATCCAGAGAGCCATCAGCAACCTGAAGGAGATGAGCAGTGATGAAATCTCTCCTGACAGGAGCATCAACATCTTCCACTGTCTGACAGAGATGAAGGACCACTCAGTACATCAGGAGATCACAGAGTTCCTGAAGTCAGAGAACAGATCAGAGAAGGAACTCTCTGAGATCCACTGCTCTGCTCTGGCCTACATGCTGCAGATGTCAGAGGAGGTTCTGGATGAGTTGGACCTGGAGAAGTACAACACATCAGTGGAGGGACGACGGAGACTGCTTCCAGCTGTGAGGAACTGCAGGAAGGCCAAGTGAGTCAGATGTGATTCACTTTATAGACTAATGAGGATCAGGAGTTTAATTATTCAAATGAACACGATAACATTTCTGCTGTTTAAATACTGAGAGCAAAATAAACCAACACTGTTCTTCTATTTATTTATAATAATAGTTAAACTGAAGCGTTCCTCTCTTCATGTTGAGTGAAGGAGGCGACATGTCAAACACATGAAGGACTCTAGAGGTTTCTCAGCATGTGATCACAGCACACAGCAGGACTCACAGTTATCACAGAAAGCACTTATTACTTTCTAGTAGTTTCTTTATCATTAAGACACACACGTTGTTATCACAATGTGTTGGAGTTTAAAATAAGATCTAAATCATTTCCCACCAATAACAGAGTCACGTCTTAATGCTGAGTTTAATGTAATGTTTCCTCTTTTTAACACATGTTGTAATTTATATGTTATTATAGACTCACTGGCTGTGGACTCTCAGAGACTGGATGTGAAGTCGTGGCCTCAGCTCTGAAGTCTGACTCCTCCCACCTGAGAGATCTGGACCTGAGTAACAACGCTCTGAAGGACTCAGGAGTGGAGCGTCTGAGTTCTGGACTAAAGAGTCCAAACTGCAGACTGAAGTCTCTCAGGTCAGTTCACTGACTGCAGTTCATACAGATCTGTTTGTGTTTATGATTTACTGAAAGAACAAATAGAATATTATTGTTATTTTGTCCACTTTGCTAATGACTGAATATTGATCAGAGTAACAGAGAGAGGTGAATGTGTGAGGGAGAGAGTCTGAGCTTCCACAGACTCACTCTGAGCTCCAGGAGTCAGTGGAGATGCTGTCAGGACTGATGAGCTGTGAGGGAGAGGAAGGAGTTGATGAACATCTGATCAAAGTTAAAGTTCCAGATTATCCGTTAGAGAGCAACGTTCAGGGGTTAAGTTGGTGTTTGATATGTGGGGGAGCTCTCTGTGGAGGTGCGAGGGTTTATATTAAATTATTAATATATAAACAAAAGGTTTAGAAATATCCAACCTTCAAATGACTATTTTAAATCAACGTTGCTCTGCACACTTGCTGAAGATCATTTGTGTGGAGATCTCAGTTCATTTGTAGAGCTGCTCGAGTATAGCACACACACACACACACACACACACACCACACACACACACCACACACACACACACACACACACACACACACACACACACACACACACACACACACACACACACTGAGTCAACTCATATGGACCTTAAATAAAGTCTATATTAAGAATGAGAAAAGTTTTAACATATATATAGTTTTTAGTAAACATGTGAGAAGTGTGCGAGGGTGATGACGTCAGAGCATCGTCCTCTGGGCTGAGCCCTGGAAACGTTACACGTGTTTTTTTGTTGTTGATATTTTTCTTAAGATATTTAAAATGGCACGGTCGTAAACATTGAATTAATCCATTTGATAATATGTAATCAACTTAGGCACCCCTCCCATAGAAACAATAATCATTACAATACAGATATTCATAACTCATATTCCAATACCTGAATCATTTTGAATATTGGATGAATCATTCCCATCCCTAATTCAAACCCTGTTTGACTCTGATCAGATTATTAAACCTGGAGTTATTTCTAACAGGAACTTTGTTTTCTAAAGTTACATCATGTTTTCTTTATTCAGACTGAGTCGCTGCTGGTTGTCAGAGATCAGCTGTTCTGCTCTGGCCTCAGCTCTGAAGTCCAACCTCCATCTGAGAGATCTGGACCTGAGTCTCAACGATCTGCAGGATTCAGGAGTGGAGCTGCTGGGAGATCTTCTGGAGAGTCCAGACTGCAGACTGGAGACCCTCAGGTCAGTGAGGGGTCTCTGCTGGTTCAGCAGTATTGTATGAAACTCAGGGAGGTGTTTCTCTCACTGGGGAACAGATCAGTGATGTTACCCACTGACTGCAGGCTCTTCCATTCTTCCATCAACTAGAGAAGGCCAGCTGGAAATGCAAAGCCTCACTTTAGTAATCTACTCTCTGACAGACATGTGGGGTTTACAGAAGAGAGGGAAAGGTAGTCTGTTCTTTATTTTAATGTTTTGTATGTGATGTTTTCAGTTTGTAGACTAATGGCTGGTATGTCATCACATCTGGATGTCATCATGCTACCATGAGCAGCTGGTTAGCTTGACTCAGCAAACAGATGGGGAAACAGCTGGCCTGGCTTCGTCTGGTTTTTGTTCTTTATCCTTTAATTTTCACACAATTGTTAATTTGAGAAATGCTGACTTTAATAAATATGAAATTAGGATCACAAGAGAAACAGACGAGCTGACTCTCCTCCAACACATGTCTTTCTATCCATTATGAATAATCACGCAAACATAACATCTAGTCAAATGATGTTCTCCTCAAATGCATGGGTCTATCCCCCAGAGAAGGACTTCCAGCAGCTCTGCAGTCACAGAGCAGAGTAAGGGAGCCATGCCTCCCACAGAGCCTACCACAGTGTGCCTCTGGGATGTGATTGAGTGTTGAAGTTATTCACCTTTGGTTATGGACCAATCTTGGTGCTCCACCCCTTTTTGCCAGTTGTACCTGACCTACCAGAAAGGCAACCTTAAGAGCTGAGATGAGATATAACAGACTCCCTCTGAGCTCCATGAGTCAGTGGAGATGCTGTCAGTACTGATGAGCTGTGAGGGAGATGAAGGAGTTGTTAAACATCTGATCAAAGTTAGAGTTCCAGATTATCAGTGGATTGTTTCTAAATCATCTCTGATATAGAGAGGTGCAGGGATGACGTATTTACCCGGAAAAAAAGCAATGGGATTCCTCCATAGGATTTTGGAAAATAGCTGGAAATAATGTCTGTGGAAAACCAACCTGTTTGATAAATGCACGTTTTGTTCAGCCGGATAATCTCCACATGTCTACTTTTATAGTGTTCGAATCATAAATCTAATCGCTAGAAGCAAAATGCTAAAGTTATGCTATAAAGGAACTACAGCCGAGACCAGCAGCACGATTTCAACGTCACGCCGACTTAAGATCTATATTTAAACATACAGATTCTAAATGGTACGAGTTGAAGCGTTTGTTTGAACACTTTGCAGGAGGCAGGGACTTGCTTTCAAGCAGAACAGGGCAAACTAACTTAGAGGAGTGTTTACGTGTTCGGTGTAATGACGTACAACGACCTCAACTTCTGTAGTCCTATTCAGCCACTTGGTAACAACCATCGTTTTTCAGACACGTCAACTCTTCAGAAATCACCAGTGGGGTCACTGCTGATGGATTTAAAGTCGCAGAACAAAACGTGATCCGTCTCTTCAATGAGTCTCAACCACAGACCTTAGTTCCAGATATTTTCCTAAATCCTATGGAGAGATCCCATTGGCTCTGAGACGAGGGAACAGGAAGTGGAGAAATGCTGACTCACTTCCTGGTTTTAGGACTTGTCCCTGCATCACTCTATTAACCAAGGATGGGTATTTGAGAGCAAATTTATATTCGAATAGTCGACCCCCAAAAAAACAGTTAACAGAATATTAGAAATGTACATATTGTAGTGCCGAGAGAAGGGAGTCGGAGGCGGTGCATCAAAGGTGCAAAGTTGGCTTTATTGAGCAGCAGAAAAGCACATGTTGTCCGGTTGCAGTCCGGGAAGAGAAGGGGAGAAGAGAAAGGAGGGCACACAGTAGGTACACAAGAGGTTCAGTTAACATGTGTGTCCGTGCGGAACAATACCCCCAACCTGTAGTTCCATGGGTGAATTATGATAAACAGTGATCACTACAATATCCTATAATATATATATTTTTAATAATACATTTCCGTTTTTTGTGTAGGACTCTCTCTTAAGCCCCTGTCACACTGTCCCGAAATTGATACCCGATAAAGGAAATGTTCAAATTCGGCTGTGATCGTAGCAACATCAGGCCTTTCGTGAGGGCATCTAAGCCATCGTATGACCGCCGGTGGAGTTTCTCAGGCTCCGGCAGCAACTTCGTGAGCGGCAACTTCGTAAGGCTCTCGTGAGGGCAGGGGCGGACTGGCCATCTGTAGAATCTGGAGAACCACAGAACGGCTGGTCGTCAAGGGCCGTTGACGGCCGGCCGGCCCTTTAAAAATAATTGTTAACGTCATCATTTAAGTAGCGCTGACGGCCGACAGAGGGCGACAGCAGCCGCTAATGCAGTTGTGTGGTTCTTATCTGTCAATAACACACGAAGAAGAAAAAAGACCGGCCACACGAAGAGAAGGGATTAGACGCCGCGGCAGACAGGGAGAATGAAAACACATGGATACAAATCAAAGAAAATAAAAAGGTGGGGCCGAGAAGGCAAGAGAAAAAAAGGTGAAGTCACTCGCAGGTGAAGCATAGAAATGTCGCAAATTGACAGACCTTTTTGGCAGCAGCGCTGCTACAAGCACTATCAGCAGCAGCTTAGAACAAGTGCAAGATGATGAAGAGAATGATGAGGGCGCGAGTTCAGATATACAGCCAGCCTCCTGCGTTCATGATGAGGGACAGAGTTGAGCTGGTGCAAGAACCACCTCAACTGGCACAAGTGCAGAGCAAGAGCAAGAGGTGGGTGAGAATTATCCCTTGAACTCAGTGGCGTTTTCTCCTGGAGGCCAAGGGAAGCCAGGCTTCCCCTGTTTTTTTGGATTGTAGTTATCATTTTAATAAATAAATAAAAACACTTAGTTTAGTTTCGGTAATTATTCTGCCGGCCCGTCTCTCCCCCATTCTCATTGAGTATTTTACAAAGAGTGAAACAGCGCCCCTCTAGATGTTATGGTGAAACAGTAGATTGCACTCTGTTGCGAGAGGAGGCCAGCCGAAATTGATTTCGCTAGGTGAAAAAAATCAAGGGATTGACCAATCAGATGAGGCTCACGTCATGCCTCACAATCCAATCAAATCACATCAACTTCAGTTCATACTGTTACTGTCATCACCGCCCTTAAAAAGTAGCAAGCAACTGAAGCAAGTGCAATTACGGAGGGTGGAGATTTGGAGTATTTAATCAAAAATAATTTTACTAAACTTCCGCTACAGCAGCAACTAAAAATGAAATCTTATGACAGGCCAATGATCAAACTGGAGCTGTGTACGTAAAACTTTATATAATAAACAGCGGATTTCTAACATTTGACATTTCATGTGGCCGGACTGGGTCAGTTTCCAGGGCTGAATTTTAGTCCCAGTCCGCCCCTGCGTGAGGGCATCTTGTCAAATTGTGTCATCTTCGTGTTATCATCGGTGCATTCGCCCTCACTCTGATCGGGGCGAATGCCCGATGGCACCGATGATAACAAGATGCCCTCACGATGGCCTTACGAAGGGCACAATTGACGCACGAATTCAACACGAAAATGAACCTTCGCAAGGTCCTTTGGCAAATCTTTGGCATGCCAAAGATTTTGCCACCGCTCACGAAGTTGCTGCCGGAGCCTGAGAAACTCCACCGGCGGTCATACGAAGGCTTAAGATGCCCTCACGAATGGCCCGATGTTGCTACGATCACAGCCGAATTTGAACATTTCCTTTATCGTGTGTCCATCGGGTTTTTTATTGCACAACAAAATCATGTAAATATATTATGTAAATAACCCAATTTGTGTTCTGTGAAACTAAAAAGGATATAATATATTATGTTGAAGGAGAGTTGACAGGAAGTTGTTGTTGCTATGGAAACAACATTACGGAGAAAACGTAATATTTTCTACATATAAAGACGGATAAAGTAAAAGTCTAGTAAAGTCTGAAGATATCAGTACAGTATCATAGTACTTTAACATAATTGTTTTTGGTACTTTCGTTGCAGTTGTATGTCTTAAATGTAATGTAAATGTTGCCTTCGTGTGTGGTTCGGGGCCATCTTCGTGCGAAATTCACAATTCAATATTCGTGTGTCCATCGGGTGTCAATTTCGGGACAGTGTGACAGGGCCTTTAGAGTGTAACGTTCAGGGGTTAAGTTGGTGTTTGATATGTGGGGGAGCTCTCTGTGGAGGTGCGAGGGTTTATATTAAATTATTAATATATAAACAAAAGGTTTAGAAATATCCAACCTTCAAATGACTATTTTAAATCAACGTTGCTCTGCACACTTGCTGAAGATCATTTGTGTGGAGATCTCAGTTCATTTGTAGAGCTGCTCGAGTATAGCACACACACACACACACACACACACACACACACACACACACACACACACACACACACACACACACACACACACACACACACACACACACACAGTCAACTCATATGGACCTTAAATAAAGTCTAAATTAAGAACGAGAAAAGTTTTAACATATATATATAGTTTTTAGTAAACATGTGAGAAGTGTGCGAGGGTGATGACGTCAGAGCATCGTCCTCTGGGCTGAGCCCTGGAAACGTTACACGTGTTTTTTTTGTTGTTATTTTTCTTAAGATATTTAAAATGGCACGGTCGTAAACATTTAATTAATCCATTTGATAATATGTAATCAATTTAGGCACCCCTCCCATAGAAACAATAATCATTACAAGGCAAGTTTATTTATATAGCACCTTTCAACACAAGGCAATTCAAAGTGCTTTACAAAAAATGAAAGAGATTAAGAAAAAGGCATTTAAAATCAGTCATTAAAAAGAAAAGCTAATAAAATAAACATTAAAAGAAAAAAGTACATGGATAAGAGTTGTAGCGGACCTGCAGGTTTCTGGGAGTTTGTTCCAGATATTTGGAGCATAATAACTGAACGCTGCTTCTCCATGTTTAGTTCTGACTCTGGGGACAGAAAGCTGACCAGTCCCTGAAGACCTGAGAGATCTGGATGGTTCATAATTTAGCAGGAGATCAGAAATGTATTTTGGGCCTAAACCATTCAGTGCTTTATAAACCAGCAGCAGTATTTTGAAATCTATTCTTTGACACACAGGAAGCCAGTGTAAAGACTTCAGAACTGGACAATACAGATATTCATAACTCATATTCCAATACCTGAATCATTTTGAATATTGGATGAATCATTCCCATCCCTAATTCAAACCCTGTTTGACTCTGATCAGATTATTAAACCTGGAGTTATTTCTAACAGGAACTTTGTTTTCTAAAGTTACATCATGTTTTCTTTATTCAGTCTGAGGAGCTGCTGTTTGTCAGAGATCAGCTGTTCTGCTCTGGCCTCAGCTCTGAAGTCCAACCTCCATCTGAGAGATCTGGACCTGAGTCTCAACGATCTGAAGGATTCAGGAGTGGAGCTGCTGGGAGATCTTCTGGAGAGTCCAGCCTGCAGACTGGAGACCCTCAGGTCAGTGAGGGGTCTCTGCTGGTTCAGCAGTATTGTATAAACTCAGGGAGGTGTTTCTCTCTCTGGGGAAACAGATCAGTGATGTTACCCACTGACTGCAGGCTCTTCCATTCTTCCATCAACTAGAGAAGGCCAGCTGGAAATGCAAAGCCTCACTTTAGTAATCTACTCTCTAACAGACATGTGGGGTTTACAGAAGAGAGGGAAAGGTAGTCTGTTCTTATGGGATGTTTTTTGTTTCTAATGACTGGTTACTTCCTGTCAGCTGAGAGCTGAGGCAGGCAGTCGTAGTGTTTGCAGAGAAGATATGATGGGATGTAAAGCATGAGATCAGGACTCTGAAGCTGACTCAAAGAACAAACACTTATTTTAAACTGGATCTAAAACTGTTGGATTGTGTTCATCTCTACAGGATCGGATATAATGATGAGACGTTCAGAGCCACGATCCAGAAGACCTGTGAGTACTGAATATCCTCCATTCATCCAGATATGAGACTCTTTAATGGAGCATGAGCTCAGAGGAAAACAACACTCTGGTTTCTCTCTTCATCATCTTGTCTGTTTCTCTTCATGTTTTATCATCATCATCATTCTCTCTCTCGCTCCTTCTCCTCTCAGGTGACAGGAAGTGAAGACACACAGGAAGGTGAGAGGTCGTACCAAGTGACCTTTATTTATTGAGGTTTCACTACAGAATAAAATGTAGTTACTGGTCAGTGTTTTCTGGGATTCAAGAGAAATCTGCAGCTCAGGTTTTATTTGTTCACAGTTGATTTATCACGGGGCGAGTTTGAGACGTACAGAGGAGCGTGGAGGCATTTAGGAAAGTATGAAAGAAGGCTGCAGCTGAGACTTCCTGTTGGCTGTCCTCAACATTAAATGAACAAAAACAATCAATTGTACTTAAAGCTGACCATAACCTGAAAATACTTTTTTTCAACCCTTGTAGGTGTTCAAAAGTTGTTACCGTTCATGGTGTTCACGGGTCAATTTTGACCCATGATTTATCTCAGTCCAAAACACAAAAAAAAAGAAAAGATTATCATCCAATATTGTTTTAACTACATCATAATTAACTTATAATGCATTCATAACTGTACAATCCTGTTGTCATGTAGTGTTATGGCCCAAAACACATTACACCACATATTGCACACGTACATGTGTGTGTTAAGGTTCAAGTGTTAGTGTACATATTCTTTGAGAAAGGTGGAGTTCCAGTGGGGGGAGGGGGGCATAGGGAGGGGAGCAGAGGGAGGGGAGAAGAGGGAGGGGAGACCAGGTGCATGTTGCGAACAATTATTGTTACAGTAGATCAGTGGTTCTCAAAGTGGGGGGCGCGCCCCCCCAGGGGGGCGCAGAGGCATGCCAGGGGGGGCGCGAGAGACCAGGAGGAAAAATGGTTAAAAAAAAAAAAGATATAAAAAAAAAAAAAAAATCATAATTTTAAAAATTATTGATTCGAAAATAATATGATGCAGTACAGTATTATTACGTGTTGAGAGATGTATCCATAGATCTCTTCATTTTGCTCTCAAAGTGCACCAGATTGATGCATTTAACTTCAATATTTAAAAATGAAATCTTCCCGGGGGAGCTTGCCCCCGGACCCCCCTATGTGAGGTCCACACACCACCTATAAAAATAGCACTTTACCCCTGCTAAGCTGATTATCGAGCCTTCATTGTAACAGTCGCGGGTACACTGTGTATATGCGTGGGGAATGTTGCAGTAGAAAATTCCACTGTAGCGACCGGTACATTAATGGGAAACCCTAAATGTTTGAGCACCCTCTATGAAACGTCAAGCTACCTGAGCTACTGAGCCTGACTATTTGTGTTGGGGGGGCCCGACTTTTTTTTTTCTCCAAAGGGGGGGCCTGACAGAAAAAGTTTGAGAACCACTGCAGTAGATGAAGGGGGTGGGGGAGGGGTGTCTAAAGTCAAAGATGAATCTTGATTGGGCCAAATTTGACCTCGAGTCACCCACAACAATTCGGCAGGGTCTCCCCAGACCCCAACACCAAATCATACACTGTTTTTTTAGAGACCTTCAGAGTTGGCTAAAATTATCAACATTTGTTTTGTAGAGTTTCTATAGCTGTTGTGGAGGATATCATGATGCCTTGTTCCGATACAAAAAACGAGAGCGTAGTTATTATATAATTTTAACTTGAAACGGGTCAAGGGAGACCCGAACACAACATAAGGGTTAAATGAAGAAATATATTTAATTATATATCAGTTAATCTGCTGTGATCAATGTCTCACGCTCTGCTGTGATTGGCTGGTCCTGCTGTCACATGTTAACTCGTTAATAATCCTTTGGAAATCAACAACGAACTCAGAGGTTCCCAGTAATCTGAATACTTAGCTTTGGTCTTTGGATGTTCTGTTATTGTAGTTTGTGTTCGTTGAGCTGGAGTTGAACTAACTCTGTTTCATAACTCCAGGCTCCAGTGTTCTTCTCACCTGAACACACACCTGGATCTTCATACAGCTGATCCTCTAACACGACCAAACACTACTTCAATAATATCTTTATATAACCATCCTTCTTTCATTTCATGCCATGTTTGCACACGTCTGCACAGCCCTCCACTTTAAAGCAGGGCCGTTTCTTCCTATAGGCGGACTATGCGGATGCCCACTAGGGGGCCCCCGTGCCCACTAGGGCCCCCAAGCTGAAAGTTCAGGTTCAGCCTCAATATGTTTGGGGAGAATTCAAATGAGCCGTCTTTATTTGTAGACAGCCCCCTCCTGTGTTCGGTGAAGCATTATATGCTTAAGAATCAAATGTAGGATATAAACACAACTAAACTGCAACGATAGCAAAGCTGAGGCTTGTGTTTGTGGGGATCAATAACGCCCAAATCATTTTTGGGCTGTCAGCCAATCAGTGACGTCTGAGGAAGATGAGACATATCAATTATACATTGTTGAGGAAATGCTGCATCTCTTGCATTTATTGACGTAGAGGAGCCTTTTGTTTGGCTTTTTAATATCATTTTTGGTAAGTTTCAATTGCTTGGTTTTCGTGAAATTAGCCTGTTTTCCTCTTAAAGTGTAACAGATTGATGCGTCTCCACAGATCATCTTAAAAGCTTCGGGATCCCCCCATTGTAGTTAAAAAAACAGCATCTTGCATGGGGCCCCCAAACAGCATCTTTAAGGTTCTTTGTATATTTACATTTAAATTTGGTGTAGATCTAATTATTTTTTTAATTGTAAAAAGTTTCTTAAAAATACTTATTTTTATTATCTTTATATTCTTGACCTTCTATTGCAAATTATTTTCTTATGGTGTTTATGTTCGCGCCACCAGACACTAAATCTACTTCCTTGTGTGTGTAAACGTACCTGTTAATAAAGGTGGTTCTGATGAGGGACTGCATTCAGAAGAACCTCTGCTATACAGTAAACTAACCTAGGATGGTGTCAGCCTAACATAAACATTCATACGTTCAGATAACAGGTTCAATTTAAATACTCAGGTATAGTACAAGTACATCAAAATTGTACTTTAGTACAGTACACGAGTATATATACTTAGTTCCTTCACACCACTGTACAGAGAGGTGAGAGCAGATCAGATAGTATTGATCCAGTGAGAACAAATACTCTCCTCTATCAGTTGAAGAAGCCCGTCTACAATCTACTGCTGGTTTTGTAACCAAAGTATTTCCCTGTTTCTCTTCCAGGTCCCAGAGGGCTACCTGTTGACCCGTGTCCATCTCAAAATGGTCCCCAGGCATCCCATAATCCTGCGTTTGGGGGGGAGACGTTCTCCCTGTAATCAAAGCACTGGTTCTCTTGGAGACGCTCTCAAAGTCTTTGAGGACAAAGTCAGAAAAAGCCAAGAAGAAGAAATGATTTGAGCTCTTCTTTGTGTTCATCACCCCGGGTTCATTTAAAGGTCTCCTATCAGGCAAAAGTCACTTTGTGATGTCTTTTATACATCAACATGTGTCCCGGTGTGTCAGGAGACTCACGCAGCGTCAGAAAATAAAACCCTTCTCTTTTCCTCCGTACCCACATCTCTAAAAACGGGGCTACAACGGAGCTGATCCAGATGTGCGTCCGATATGACGTAATATCAGAAATGTGGGCGGGCTTTACGCCCACGGCCCTATCAGAAAGTTGCTGTCAGAAACCATGCGGAACGTAATATGGTCTGTGTTTACATTAGCATCGCTAACACTCAGAGCTAACCTGTACTGGAGAGCATGTGTGTGAAGAAGCAGGAAGTAAAAAGGAACTCACCTTGTGGTATAACCGGCAAGAGAGAAAAAGAGTTTGAGCTCCAAACTGTTTCAGAGATAATCCTTGATGTGGTTTGGAACATGATGGCGTTTAATCACCGCAGCGTTTAGCTTTATCTCCAGAGAATACTGAGCAGGCAAAAGCTTCCCCTCCTTTTTTTATAAAGCTAAGGACCCAGAATCAGTGTTTCTCTAACAGCTGGAACAGAGGGATATGAGGGATTCTAAAATGTATGATCTGTTTGGTATTTTCAGCAAAAACCTTCATAGACATTTGGGCTGGGAATCACCAGGCTCCCCACGATACGATACTATCACGATACTTAAGCCACGATACGATAGTATTGCGATTCTACGATATGCTAAGTATTACGATACAATATATTGCGATATTGCAAATCACATGGGTCGTATCCATGTCCGTCTTCCCTTCCTGGTTAAAACATGTATTTGCAAAATGAATAGTTTATGTAAATAACCCAATGTGTGTTATTAGAACCTGAAAAGGAGATTGCATTGTTTTTGTTGCTTTCATTGCAATTGTATTCATGTCTTAACGTAACTTCCTGTTTTATATACGACCATCTTTCGAAGGAATATGCTAAAGTGTATATTGCATAATAGGAAACCTTTAATATCCAATCAAATGTTCTCGTTGATTTGTAACTCTTCTAAAGGAGCTCTGCCTGGTGTCATTGAAACTGCTAAAGCTTTGTGTGCATGTAGTCTTTATGACATGTGATCAGATATTGTTGAAACCTATTAGATGTGTTCTCTTCAGAACCGCTACAGGATGTGGATTTTGTAAATTGTGGCATTTAAAAAAAATATATCTTTAATATTTGTTGTTATGCTTCTTAGTTAACGTTAAGCTGTCTTTGGCTCTTTCTGCTGGAACAAATGTACATGTACCCTCTGTGGGACTAATAAAGGTTTTCTGACTCTGTGATGTCTTCTGTGAAATGCATGAGCAGCTGAGCAGAGAGTGGGTTCAGTTTATTGACGGCGGTCTGTGTCCATGTATAAAGAATCCATACAAATGTAATAAACAATGTAATACAAATAATAATCTTTGTTATGGAGTTATGGATAAAACAATACAATTAAATTAATAAGGTTAAACTAATAAAGTATGCGCAGTCATTGTTCTTCTCTCATCCATTTATTCAGGGACATTAACCAGCATGGCAGTGCTGCATAATCAACAATGAGACATATGGCACTCCGCGCTTGCTTATGACGTCACAATGGGACGTACCATTAAACATGGAGTAAGAGTGCTATTACAAAGTAATATTTAACACTCCCACTCAACCTTAACTCTATTGGTTACATGAAAACAAAACAACAATATAATAAGGCTTCTCTGTTGCCTTAACAATGTGAATACACTTGTGCACAAACATGTCTTGAGCAAACCTCTTCAGTTGTAGCTTTGTAGCTGGCTTGGTCATGACATCAGCAATCATTAACTCAGTAGGGCAGTACTGCAAAGTTAACTTTCCGTTATTTACAGTTTCCCTCATGAAATGGTACTTAATATCAATGTCCTCGTACACCTTTGTTTGTGCATACTGCTATGTGTCTACCTTTAAGTAGCTGATCTAAACAGATACATTCTTGTATAGCTGATGCTAAAGACATGTATTCTGCCTCACAGGTGGATAATGCCACTGTTGGTTGTTTCTTTGTTTCCCATGAGATCAGAGAGCTTCCTTTACTTAGACAGACACAATATCCTGATGTGCTACGCCTGTCTGTTTTATCTGATGCCCAGTCAGCATCACAGTACACTTTTAGACCTCGTGCCTCTCTGTCATTTCTCTTAAAGCATAACTCCTGTTCTGTTGTGCCTTTTAGATATCTGAATAACTACAATGTTCCTCTGTTGGTGCAGCCAAGTGCTGAGATAGTTTACTGACCACAAAACCTATATCTGGTCTAGTACATGTGGACAAGTCAATTAAACTTTCCACTGCCTCTGTATTTAGTTGGGTCTGTCCATTTCTCAGAATCATCTGTTTGTTCAAGTGTTGGCTCACATGGGGTCCCCTGGCCTTGCTATCCTGCATTTCAAACCTCTAGGATTTTGCCTATATTTCTTTTGAGACATTTTAACTTCACCTTGTTTGGTAAAAATCAATTCCCAGGAAATGTTTCAACTTTCCCAGGTCCTTCATTTTAAACCTGTCAGAAAGCATAATCTTTACAGCTTCCAGTACATTTGTGTTGCTTGCTGCTATGATCAGATCGTCAGCCCATACAATCATGATGACCTTTTCATCATGTTTCTCTCTTGTATACACAATGATCAGCTGGATTCTGTATGAAACCGTTCTCACTCAGACATGTGTGCAACATAGCATTCCAGTTTCTACCTGATTGCTTAAGGCCATAGAGAGACTTTTGCAACTTACAAACCCTGGCTAAATGATGCGCTGCGTGCTAATAGAACCGTCCTTAGGGCAGCAGAGCGGAAATGGTGGAAAGCCAAACACCGTGACGACCTCCTAACCTATCAAGCTCTCCTCTCCTCTTTCTCTGCTTCGATCTCTCAGGCAAAAAGCACTTTCTTTCAAGATAAGATCCAATCTTCCTATTCCAATCCTAAAAAACTATTTTCCATCTTCTCCACCCTCTTGGACCCTCCAAAAGCCTCTTCCCCCTCCTCACTTCTGTCAAGCGACTTTGTTACCCACTTTGAAAAAAAGGTTGATGATATTCGCTCTTCTTTTTCTGACTCACCTTTACTCACCGCTGGGTCACCAGACCCTCCTTCCACCAACACACTAACCTCCTTTTCCCCTCTCTCTCCAAGTGAGGTTCTTACCCTCATTACCTCTGCCCGCCCTACCACCTGTCCTCTGGACCCTATCCCTTCAAACCTCCTTCAGACTATCGCTCCTGATATTCTACCGTTTCTCACCCATTTCATCAACACTTCTCTAACTTCTGGTCACTTTCCAAACAGTCTCAAGGAGGCAAGAGTAAACCCTCTCCTAAAGAAACCCACTCTCAACCCGTCTGATGTTATAAACTACAGGCCTGTCTCTCTCCTCCCGTTCCTGTCTAAATCACTTGAACGCGCTGTCTTTAAACAACTCTCCTGTTATCTCAATCAGAACAACCTTCTGGATCCGCACCAGTCTGGTTTCAAGGCAGGTCACTCCACAGAAACTGCTCTCATTGCTGTCATGGAGGAACTGCACACTGCTAAAGCAGCCTCCCTCTCCTCTGTCATCATCCTGTTGGACCTGTCTGCTGCATTCGACACGGTGAATCATCAGATCCTCCTTCGCACTCTCCAAAAACTTGGAGTTTCAGGCTCTGCACTTTCCCTCCTCACCTCATATCTGAAAGACCGTACCTACAGGGTGACTTGGAGAGGGTCTGAGTCCGACCCTTGTCAATTAACTACGGGGGTCCCTCAGGGCTCTGTTCTTGGTCCCCTCCTCTTCTCCCTGTACACAAACTCGCTCGGATCAGTCATTAGCCCGCATGGTTTTTCATACCACTGCTACGCTGACGACACCCAATTAATTCTGTCCTTTCCCCGCTCAGAGACCCAGGTCGTCGCACGCATCTCTGCTTGTCTAGCTGACATCTCTCAGTGGATGTCTGCTCACCACCTCAAGCTCAACCTTGACAAGACTGAGCTGCTCTTCCTCCCGGGAAAAGATTGTCCAACTCTTGACCTGACAATCAACATCGGCACCTCAGTTGTTTCCCCGACTCAGACTGCAAGGAATCTGGGTGTGACCCTAGATAACAACCTGTCCTTCACTGCAAACATCGCTGCTACAACCCGTTGCTCCAGATACACGCTTTACAACATCAGGAAGATACGTCCCCAGCTGACTCAGAAAGCGACTCAGGTTCTGGTCCAGGCTCTCGTCATCTCACGCCTAGACTACTGCAACTCCCTCCTGGCTGGTCTACCTGCATGTGCCATCCGACCTCTGCAGCTCATCCAGAATGCAGCGGCTCGTCTGGTTTTCAACCTTCCTAAATTCTCCCACACCACTCCGCTCCTCCGCTCCCTTCACTGGCTTCCGGTAACTGCTAGAATCCACTTCAAGACACTGGTACTTGCTTACCATGCTGTGAATGGATCTGGCCCTTCCTACATCCAGGACATGGTTAAACCGTACACCCCAGCGCGTGCACTACGCTCTGCATCAGCCAAACGACTCGTTGCGCCCTCGCTGCGAGGGGGACCCAAGTTCCCATCGGCGAAAACACGTGGGTTTGCTATCCTGGCTCCAAGATGGTGGAATGAGCTCCCCATTGACATCAGGACGGCAGATAGCTTGCACATCTTCCGGCGCAAACTGAAAACTCATCTCTTTCGACTCCACTTCGAGCGTTAGAACTATTAACGAAGCACTTTTATACTAATAGAGGACTGGCTTACCTAAAGCCAGTTGAGTAGCACTTGAAATGTTTGGCTCTATGAAACCTGATGTACTTCATGATTCTGTTTTCTTCAAGGTTGTGTCTTCCTGGTCGAATGTACTTATTGTAAGTCGCTTTGGATAAAAGCGTCAGCTAAATGCAATGTAATGTAATGTAATGTAACAAACTAGGTTTTCCCCGGTTACTGACTTTTCTTCATAGCCTTCTGGTTGCTCCATATAGATTTCACAATCAATGGGTGCATGCAAATAGGCTGTCTTAACGTCCATCTGGTGTAAAATGAGTCCCTCTTGTGCTGCTTTCTGCATGAGTACTCTTACACTTGTCATTTCAGCTGTGGGAGAAAATGTCTCTGTTCAGTCTGTTCCTGGTTTTTGACTGTAGCCTTGCTAACCCTAACCCTAAGCGAATAGTCGCGTCCGGTGTGAACACAGCATAAGACACGAGGATAGGAGTCGAGGAGGGGAATTAGAGAAATGAGAAAGGCCCATAGTGTTAGAATTGGATCATAAAACGACCAAAGCAGTTTAGTTTTGAGCATCAAATGAATTAATCTGTGCATTAAATACCCGGTTTATCATTTATAAAGTGTGGCATATCTGTACAAAATCCCCCAGAATAAAAAAAAGAGGAAAAATGTCTTATTTTTCGATGCAATTTACTTGAAAAGGCTAGAAAATGCACATATTTATAAACATTTGGTTGATTAGTTCTGGATTTCATGTTTTTATATAATGTAAATAATGGATATCCTTCTATTTCTGCACAAAATTCAAATGTAAACAAGCCTTATTTGGGTATTTATTATATATTTATATAAACAATTTAAGTATTCATAGTATAACATTGTCAATATGATTTGGATTCAAACATTAAACCTCAGTAATGTGGGATTTATTTATATATTTCGTCAATTTCAGTTTTGTTTTTTAACATTGACGGTCAGGAAAGGACAGGAAAAAAACATGCATTTAAACTACGTCGCATCCGGGAGAGGGGGCGGGTCTTAAACTGTCAACTAACCGAAGAATAACAAAAACAAACATCGAGGTTCCGGAGACGGTGAGTAAAATGGTCTCATAACAACAGCGTATTAGTGACAAAATACAGCATTAATAATAATATAAGATGTCTGCTTTAAAACTCATCATAAAGCATCGGCTTTAGCAGAATATTACATCTAAAAAACCCAATTATTCTGATACAAAGCCGTAAAACATGTACTTGAAACATACATTTCGCTGTGACAGTCATGTTAAAAGCGTTCAAATGTGAAATTCATAATATGCCCTGGGTTTCTGTTTAAAATGTCGATGTTAATAATGTTATTTAGGTACATTTGCATGAGGGAGATTCGCAGACAGGCCTGTTTCGTAACCAGCTCCCCCCCCCCCCCTGCTCGCAGAATGCATTGCAAAACTCCGTTGAAAAACCTCTTAATGTAACATTGTATTCGCTCTTAGCAAGTGCATATAACACGTACAGTTCTCATTTCGACTTTTCTTAAATCGGGATGATTTGCAGTATAAT